TTCTTTTCTCCGTCGTCTACCACAAGTGAATCACTAAAACTGACCATTACTTCAAAATCATATAGATTTAAGAAAATTACATGCAAGAAACAGATTGATTTTATGAAGCCTTCTTGGTAGAACAGCCCTGATTTGACTGACTATCTTCTGATATACTGATATGCATCGGTAAATTACAGCTTAAATGCCATACAAACACTAAACATTGAAGGGTCAGTCAGTCAACCTACAATAAACAATAACAAAAATCAAACACTTCCTTGAACTTTGCATACCCATTTCAGAGCACAGTCATACTGAGTGTTTATAATCTCCTGTTAGGAAGTTGCTTGTCCAACGATGACCACATTTTAACTTAATTAAATGCCCAATGAAGTATTATTGTAATCTAACGACATTATTCATGCCTCAATTTTAACCAAAGTGACTGAAGCCCAGCAGTCGTTTCAGAGGATATCTCTTCCTTAACGAAGTCCTCACTGTTCAATGGCATAGTAGGAATACAAAGGCATGTACATTTACTGCATTACTACTTCACTTACTGTTTCTAGTGGTTAGTACATGGACAGTTGAAGACATCTTCAACAAACGCTTAAGTGTCATTTTGAATTTTTAGCAGTCTACAGCTCTGAAGATGTTGTCTTGAAAGACAGTGAAAGCTTCAAAATTAGACCACGAAGCTTATAATACACAACAACACTAATATCATCCTCCTGGGCTAAAAATCATCTCCATCAGCCCGAAGCATTGTCTCACATTTTCTTCTTTCCTGGTCGTAATTATCTTCTGGTGATCGACTCGTTAATTAATTCTGTAGATAGACATTAATAAATGAATATCTAGTCATATAAAAGAAAAGAAGGCGTTCAGCGAAGAGACTCTTTTCGGCGAATTCATTCACTTAGCTGTACAATCGCATATTTATACAATTTCGTTTGTGTGTGTGTACATTAGATTTATAAAGTTTAGATAATTATGTAATATAAGTAATTTTTGGCTTGGAAACAAACGTTAAGATGGAAAATAAAATAGAATTGATTAAGTGAGTAGAATGAATATCTTTTGTTAGTCAAGTCGTCTTGTTTCTTTTTCTTTCTTTTTATTGTCGTTTTGAAAAAGGCTTTTTAGCCAGTAATTTTGCACTAGTTTCGGAAAACAAATACTGCTAAAAATGAACATATTTATAAGAAATGTGGGATATACATATATGACATTTATGACGTGGGGTTTTATTTTCTTATAAAGACGACAGAACAAATTGATTTTTTGTCGTCCTTTTATCAGTGAGACTGTGCGGCATATTTACGGATTCTGTGTTTGACCAAAAACGGTGTATGAATATATCTGGTACAAGGCGATAAATTACTGGATAAACTCTGCTAGGAGCTACTTTCGGTATTTTGGTGTCTCTGCATAACTTCAATTTGTCAAAGAGAACAGAAACACCAGGTTTACAGTTAGTAGGAAAAAAGGCGGTTGCTGCCTACTTGTATTCTTGATTTACTATTATTTATTATGATTTAATAAACATTATGTTGTGAGAAGGGATACTCGCTGACGGCATTAGTTGGCGGTGGCACTGTATGCTGAGAATCAGTGGAACTTAGGATTATTGAGCTATTGGATTCTGTTCCGGCAGCTGGATGTTCGGCGTGTTCGCCTCGTAATCTGAAGTCACTGGGTCTGACGCATAGTGGACACATGACTGCGTACTGTTGGAGTTCCAAGTCAGGATGAAACAACTGTTAAGTATGCGATGATTCTCAGTATTTTTCTGTGTGAATGCAGTGCATAATATTACCTCAAAACAACATTTAGCCAGGAGATTTTTGTTGTTGAGTTTCCACATCTAAAAGAAAGCAACTTACAGTTCACTTGTCAGCATACATGACTATCATTCACCGTTTAGTCCTTAGGAAAGTCATTTATTCCAGAAAAATAATTTAATAATTTTTTGATGTGATCACTTACCAGTAGATCCTAGTGTCGACCATTATTCTTGTGTCTACCTTATGAGCCATATGCCCTAGGAAGTTGATGCACTAGTCTTTCCGTCAGTGGCATTTTTGTCTTCACACCACTGATGACAGTTTCGTTATATCAATGGAGGTTTTTGCTTCAAATGAGAGTTCTTCAGCTAAGATGTTGCCGTAATCCGTGATGTATTACGTTACTAGGTGTTCGCTAGAAAGACCAGAAATTAGTATCTGAAGGCCATATGCAGTGGGTATGAGGGTTCCTGCCTTATATATATATGTATATATGCTTGCGTCAAACTGAAATGATATGTCTTTTTGTATTTCTTCAAAACAATTGTTGTCCAACCGAAACTATTCAGGGAATTCTACTCAGATTTCTATTTATCGCAATTAAGAGTACATAGTGCGTGAATGTGCACACTTAAACACTAGTCGAATTAATTAGATGAGTCATTAATCCAGATACACTGCCATGCCTTCCGTTTTTCTCAAATAATCACAATTTAAGCTGAAAATAAAAATTAACCGAATCGACTAAAGATTGAAAAGACACCGACTAAAAAACCCGCAGATTTATAATAGAGTGTTTTTGATACTGAAGTACCAGTTCAATCGAAGTACTTATTACACACTAAATGAGGTCATGGCCATTTGTTGTTTACATTTTTCAACATTTCTCTGTGCATCATAATACACTAAGCGTATCGAATAAACTACAATTTGTTGAATATTTTCAATAGTAAAACTCCATCATTATCGCTTTTTATGCACAGCGGATCGCGAGGTACTGATTATGCACTAATTTCAGGTTAACAGGCTCTCACTGAATACCGCAGCATATATATATATATATATATATAACGCATCTTATGATTATCGATCTATATATATATATATACATATAAGAGTACAAGTTCACACATAGCAAGGGTACTCACTGATTGCCTTTCACCTTTCCTTGCTGCACATTTTCTTTCTTACTGCTTTTCTGTTAATTTACAGATCTTTGTGAATGATCGATATACTGTCACGTGATCACCTTGCTCTTTTTGTTTCTTTCAAGTTGCTATTCTCAAATTAAACTTTTATTCACAATAGTAGTAATAATGATAATAAAATAAAAGCACAATCGCATGTAGAGTGACAGGTGACCTGATTAGGCAGGTGAGAGTAGCAGTTATCTGTTTAATGCTAGGCAGAGCTTATCTGGTTTAATGGTGTTTAATCGATGTCAACTTGATGAAGATTCATGCTATTGATGAATACATATTTGTTTCAAAGTGTGCAAAATAAGTGGCTTGCGCACAAATCCGCAAAATGAATAATTACGAGATGCTTATTAACAGATAGTATGTTGGGCATACATTATATACACACTCACAGAAACACTTTAGATAACCATTAAGAGAACAATATTCACAGGGGATGGACACCGATGCAGAGCTTTACAGAGTTGGGCACACTATGCCAACATCTAACAATGCTTAATTTTCAACTATTTGAATGGACACTTAACTAAATGAGACAGCAGCAGTAGATATAGAGAAGAACACAAATGTTAAAAGTATTTACTCTTATACATATCAGAATAGATTTTGTCGCTTGAATTCATATTAATGACGTCATGCAGACAATAGTTAAATCGATAATGATGTTTGTAAAAAGAAGCATTCCTCTTCTACACCATACTGTAAATTAACTTGAAACTTGAGTATAATTTAGGATGAGATAGTGACTTTGACTTTGTGTGTATGTGTGCTTGTAGTATAGTTGGAAAGCAAATGAATGTTGTGTGATGGTGTTAAGTAAATAATATTTAATAATTCAAGAAGGAAAGTTGGCTTATGAGGTGGTACTAACAGAAATTAGTAGACTTTACTTCTTCAGAAAGTATCATGATAGTGTACAGAGAACAATTTGACCGATATGATTATTAATTATTATGAAGTATTCATTGTACACATTGTAAATTTATCATTGCTTTACTTAGTGTCAGTGTTGCACATGGTTTTTAATTTAAGTCTGATAGATATGAACATTCAAGCGAACAGTGAACTGCTAGTTACTGTTAGTTTCATCTTTTTATCAGTAACTTCTACATATACAGAGTTAATTTACCTGAATGTCAACTGTGTTTATGCTGAGACCGACTTACTTTTCAGCACGTTTTGTTTTAATAGATTTATTTTAATCAATCTATAGTTTACTATGAATAAGATTGAAAAATTGTCATAAAAATACCGTTTACTAGTTAGTTAGTTGTTTTCATTCCCTAGGAATATGTCCAATAATTGGGTAGACGAATATTAGCATTGTACTAAGACAAGATTTACTAGGTACAGTGTGTTGTCAATTTGTTTCTTTAGAGCTGTTTCCTTACCTTGATTAGCAGCCAAATGACAGAACAAGTTGAGTATTTCTCATGAGTAACAGTATCACAAGTGCCAATCTATAGCCCTATGGATTTACACTGGCTAAGGTGGGTGTAGATGTGTTATGCTTGTCAATAGTATCGTTTGTTTATTGGACTACAAAGGAAAAATCAACCGGATAGTGACAGCCAAACGGTGGTGTGAAAAAAATCTGTGATGATACTGATTACTGACTTGATATGTATCAGTAATTGTAGTTTTCATAGCTAACATCTATAGAAGAATAGTAGAAATGAATGAGTGCAGACTTATGGTTATGCGGATTATTCTAAATCACAAAGTTCCAGAGACATGGCGTTTAGGAGACTTCAACTGGCTATTAGATATATTCAGTGAAAACTAAATTCTGATATTTTTTTAAAAACTTTTTGGAACAGTTTATGAGTATTTTAAATAGTTAGTTTGTAGAGTAGAAGGATACTTCTCATCATTGAAAAGTGAATAAATCCTCTGAAAGGAGATTCTTTGCTGAACAGTTTGTTCTTATTTCCAAATTCAAGCGTGTTTCACATTTTTATAACAGAATAATTTTTTCAATATACATTTTCAGGAAAAACTTACACTTTCTTAATCCATTTACTGATTTCAGGTGACATTACTTTGCTGAAACCATATGTCGACCATCTAGTTCCGTCTGGGGCTATGGAATCTTGTCAAGGCTTACTATGGCACTTGAATGATGAAAGCACTGTGGATGAAAGCTCTACACTAAAGGCCACTGAAGATCGTAATGTGACAATCTACTTTGGAAAGACATATTCAGTGGCGAGTGTCAGCCTAATGACATCGAAGCAAGCGGAAGCACCAACTGAATACAGTAAGTAGATTCGTTTTATTTCTGTTCACTTTCCTTCTGATTGAATGAACTACCGATAATCGATAGTAGAACTCCAGTCAGCCATGCCAACCTTTGACTAACCGGTGGTAAATCCGTTAAAGAACCAAGGTTGAGTGTCAGGCTGGCAACCCCACTCTGTAAAAAACAACATCACCGATACTGAAAATTCAAGGACTAGGGTTCCATATTTCACTCGAAACACAAAGGAATTTAAAAAGATAAAAATAAGAAGTTGGAGGAATGTTTCAAACTTATATTGATTAAAAATGCGGATTAATTTATTCTTTGAGTATTTGTATTTTTTGAAATTTGGCGTTCATTTCACAAGTCATGCCTAGCAGGCAGTAGGTATTCATCGTTTTCTAAAACGACAACCACATTACTCACCACTCCGCTTTACAAAGTTTAATTTTAAACACTCTTTAGGAAGATAAAGGAAATAATAAAAGTTAATTGTTCGAATAATTGCCTCTCATCAGAGTGTGTGCACACTTAGTTAATTTTGACATTGTGTTTGTTTCAGAAAGTGCAGCGATTTATTGCTTGAACCAGAGCATTAAAAATATTAGCGCCAGTTAAAGGCTTATAGCATGCATTTGGAATGACTCACTGCTCACTTCAGGTGTATGTGAAGATATCTGATATCATCCAAATCAAGGAATACAAGGGGATTTTACTATCTGCCTAACTTTATTCAGTTGCAGGCAACTGTTTACTCCAAAAAGCGTCATTAATCAAGTGGTATATGTTGTGTTAAGTGAATATATATCACTGTGAGTCAGTACCACGTGGGGTTTAGTCATAGGTGTTTGAGATTTTCAACGATATAAAAGCTAGCCTTCCGCAAACAGTAAAGAACCTATTTTCGAAAACACCTATTTTATATTTCAAAACACACAACCATTACAGTGATATTTCTTCACTTGTCCATATTTGGGAAAAAGTCAAAGCCAGCTGCAAGTGATTAATAGTTTTTAAACAGTTATAGAGAAGAACAACTAGAATTTACGACGAAAGAAAATAAGCGTGGAATTTGGGTGCTGTGGTTTAGTATAATTCCATAATAGAACAATTTCATTCGATAAAACTGACAATATCATTTGCCGATGACGTTTTGAGAGCAATTTACTTCTCATAATTTTATCAAGGCAAACGATATGATTATGATCTGTGAGAAGATTAGTTTATATGCTAACTATTAACTGTTGGTCTGACCATTCTTTAACTCTCATATTAATGACTCCTTTACAGATCGATATCAAACTTTGGAACTATTATAGGCTAGAAGGCATTTGACAGATTATTCGCCTTAGTTTAAAGCGCTTCAGCAGTGCTCACACACGATTAGGAATAGGGTACAGAAAGTAATCGCTAGTTACTGAAGTGAAACAAAAGTTACCTAATTTATACAATTTTTTCGTATAATAAATATGGATAACGTCAATACACGACGGAGTTTACCTAGAAATACCACATGTTTCCGCAAAACATGAGGCTAAGTTTCAGTGTCCGCTTCATTCAGTTAGAGCGGTTCTCAAGATTATGCACAAACGATGACAGGGGTTCATGCTAAAATATGGTAAGGCAACAGCTATCTGCAAAATTAAGTCTTCCCCTGTTGTGTACTCCGAAAACACCTTTGTAATTCTTATCTGATTATATATTCAGAGTGAGTAGTGTCACTTATTATTCTCCTTACTCTTAAATTTCTTATCGATTTATTTATTTGTCTAACCTCTCATTTTCCTCGTTTACATCGAAACTGAATTGAGGAGTAGATAGTTGTGATTGGTTTATTGAAAATGTTTTGCTGAAATACATCACTTTTCTTACAGACAGATTCTTGTAATAACGCTATGTAAAGCTATCTTATTTACAGTTCTTTGAAAACTTTATGGATTTTTTAATGGTGGAGCTAGTATCATTTTTGTTTACACTTTGGATTTCTCATTCATTCCTCTGGGAAAAAATGTACATTGAATCCGTAGTGAATGGCATTAGTTATAGATTTCCAAGTGTGATGTCGTCTGTCCAAGTTACACATGATCTAGTTAACTGTTACCAAGATGTGAAGTGTAGGCAAGATTTTTTCTTTCAGTACTTACGATACTCCAAATGTACTACAAAACAGAGGACAATGATTGCATTTTATAGTATAATCACTAGTTTAGGGATATTATGATATTCATCACTGGACAATTGTTAATGTACAAACTAATATATTTTGCAGTTAATTTTAAGTTTATGCAACAGCGTTATATATGTAAAGTGTTAATTAACGACATGCCGAATAATTCGTCTGTTTGTGAAGTCTACTCACAGCACTTTATTTTGTCCACTTCATTGTACAGCATTTCAGATGGCTTATTTCTTCGTTCAAGGTGTTTAATCTTAAAATCCACATAGCTGAAGTGACTTATTAATAGGTGTGGCTCATTAGATAAGTACACGAATCTATGTATCTACACGGTGTGCTGCTTTCTAATCCGCTTGTTGTTACACCCTTCATAATTTTGTGGTTCAAATTACTGACCAATGAATTCAAATGAATTTAAGTTTTTTTAGTAGTTGTAAATGGTGAATTGTATCCTTTTTTCTTTTGTCTTTACATTTTTTAATTTTGCAAGAATTCCTTCTATGTGATCGTTTCCTTTCAAATAGAAATAGAAGATAGCGAAATAAATAAACAAAAGTGATTTTGACCTCATTCAAGTACATGAACTGCACATTTGTTTTGCAGAAATCCGGAGAGGGGTATATACATATATTTTCGTTGTCTAGCTCACAATTATGGAAGTTTATCTTGAATAGTCCCTTTTGTATTCTGATATATGTATATATATTCATTTATGGTTTCAAAGTATGTGGTAAGTTAACAGGTGTGTTGCTGTTCACTTTGCTTGAATTAGCCACCAGTTCGTTAGATTTGTGGGGTCTATTGTTGCTTTGCTTCGCAGTGAATTCCTACGAATTCACTTTAGCAGGAATAAACTTGCTAATGGCAGTTAGCATGCGCCTTCTTGTCTATGAGTACTGAACCTAGTCATCTCTCAACCCTGTCTATTTCGGTTTGCTTTAGAAAGTTTGCGAATATATGATTACTTACTGAACAGTGGTTATCATCCCCTGTCTCTGTATTGATTTGCAGTTTGGTGGAAATTTTCTCGGACTTATCTGCACAGAAATCATCTGTAAATTATTCTTGAAAATCCATCATCAACTATTCGACGCTAAATCCGCATCAAATCATCCCATTTTAGAGATACATTAATTAAGCCCTGACGATAATGTCTTCGGTTTAAAGATATGAAAGCAAAGTCTTTTTAAGAAATCAGATGTCACGCTGATGTGGTCCACTTCGACAATGGAATATACACATTTCCTTCACACTGCGAAATGTCATCATATTGAAAAGACCTGGTGATTTCTCAGCTGGCCAAGTTTAGCTATTCTATGTATAATCTTCAGTGCAGCTGCGCAAGAATACATCTTTTCGACTGACAAATAACGAACTATTGTGATTTGAATAATAAGCCCACATTCTTCATAAACATATGCCTCATCGCGCATACAAATTCATCATTCATTAGGATTCCATTTATGTTGTAACGAAATTACCTCTTTCTTGTTATATTGTACGTATTCATTGAATTACAAGGTAGGGAGTATCAATAAATATTCTGTCCACTTCTGTATAAACGGGAATAGTTAGTATCACATATAAAGCGTAATGTTTTTAATCCCGTGCTCAAGCATTTAGAATACTGTTCAGGAGACATGAAACATAATGCTGTAGCGACGGGTAAGAAAGCAAACTGTGGTCTTTGTCAAAGAAATAGTGGCGAATATTTGTAGCGCAAAGTAAAGGTATTATGAAGTTTAGTAAATTTTATTTATAGGTCACCAACAGTAACACTGACACTTGTACTGATATCGAAGGTGGCAGCAGGAAAAAGTTTTGTGATAGGAGCGCTGAATCTTCTGAACACAACTGTCTGTTGATATGAGGTCTACATTAGGAGTATGATACTTCGTCAAGAGTAAATATAACATCAGTGCATTACTAACTACCACAAATTGCTTATATGCTCATTTTTCACTACGCAGTTTGAAATGTTTTATAAATACAGCCAGTCTGATGCAGTTTACAGACTGAATTTCAGCATTTCCCTCACTAAATCTTAGCCATTATTGCAATTCCCCCATGGAATAAATTACGATTTCATTTGTTGGTACCAGGTGAAGCAGTCACCTAGTTAATCGACACGCCTATCTTAAATGATCATAGTTAATTAGTAATTGACAGATGTGCCTGTTAAATCACTTATTTATTTATTATAATAAACCACAACTGCAGTGGCGTTCATTCACTTTTGCTGACCAACAACTCATCACTTCCACTGTGTGTATGTGTGGATTTTTATGAAACATACTCGTTAAAATACAAATTGCTTTTGTTTCCATCATTCACCGTGATGAATCATTATGATCATTATTATCATAATACCAAGCATTAGGTTACATGCACCATCATTGTGTAGGTTGATTACTGTGGGATTTTTGAGTTTCTCTCTTTTTTCTTTTTCACTCTAAGAATGACCACGTCAGAGAAAAACAAAGTACGCTTGCTTTTCGTTTTTTTCTTAAACAAAATAGTGAAATATATGTACCTACCAAATGTTTTTGTTATTGTGTCTATGCCCGTAGGCTTATTCCACACAAAGAGGTGAATGAAGTGTTGTGTATATATGTGTTTTGATTCACCCAGAGAATGCATTATTCTCATTACAGTATCTCATTATTCAATGGGATACACTATGGGCTAAACAACACCTTGGGTATTTTCACACGACATAGAATGCATTACCTGTTTACGCATACATTTAGCTAATTCAGTTCATACGATGTTAACATTATTTACCTGTTGACTTTGGCCAATCGAGCCAAGAATATTCCTTACCCAACTTTACCTGAATACAAGATAAAGGACTTCTGGAGGGTTTAACATTAAAGACCTGAACGTTATGGTTCAGGAGGCTCCGTAAAATAGAAAATATGGAACTGGTCACTGTCTGGAGACCTTTGTTAAATTGATCACGTTAGGTGGAACGGGTTAGCTACAGTAGGGTTAAACAGGAAAAGTGTTAAAGTTGGTGAGACCAATCTATGGATTCAGTGACTAATGTCATGACCACATTTAGGGGTGTATTTCGCCTGCCTGGTTTTCTGGGATAACAAAAACCAATCCTTCATAATCGTGCACAATTTTTAGAATTATTCCTACCCGTACAAGATTATTCTTTATAGTGACATTAAAGTTATATTCTTTTCTTTTCGAAGAATGAAAACCTCCACCGGTGAATGGTTATGGAAAGTTCTACCTTGATTATTTAGCAGTTAGTCTGACATAAAATTATTATTCAATATTCGAATGAGATTCAGCGGTAAGATTTGTCAATAAAATACTGGTCAACCTGAATTTCAGCGTTTGAGGATGTCTTTTACCTTCGTTCACGGTTTTCGCTTTCTACTCACCACTGTTCAACATCAACCACAAGAGAGTTAAGTTACCTTTACTTAAATAACTAAGTGGGTATATTACAGACATAAGTATTGCCAAAAACATTTTGCAAATATGTTCATTTGATCATATTTTGTTTGTCGACTGTTTCACAGGAAGCAAAAGGTTTTATCGAACTTTCCACATTCTCAAAGTCTGAATTCCTTTCGTTGTTTGTTTTGAAAAAATGGTCTAACTGACTTATTGACCCTGGGTTGTTTGCATTGGTGTTATTCAAGTTAATGAAAGTATTTTGTTCACAATACAAAGTGTTATTGCTTTGTTTTTATTTTGTTTCCACTGATGTTTCCCTCAGTTGCCTTCTGTGTCTCTCCCAATTGTGAATTTACCTCTTTTTCAGTACTGCATTTCAATGGAATGGAGTCTGTGACGAAAACGGTTAATCTACCGAATGACTGTACTCTGGATAATGATGATGCCATTGCAAAGGAATATACTTGTCTAACATCGGATTTAGAAAGTTATGCATTTGAATATGTGACTGTGAATGTGAGAGGCCTTTACAAATTTCATGTCTACGGTGTACCATGTGAGTTTTTATCTCGGTTTTCGTTTAATATACTTTTGTCAAATAGAAGAATCACACAACTTTTGATATGATTAATTCACTTGAGATTGACTAAAGTTGTAGACAGTACTTGGTATTCATAATCAGTAGTTGTTTCCAGCTGCAATTTATCTTTCACCCGTTTCAGTTTACAGGGAGACACTTTGTTTCAGTCCATTATCAATGTCTTAAATCTGTTAAATGGTACGCATATACTTCTATTCGAAATCTTCCTTTGTAGCAGACATTTTAAGGAAAGTAGAATGTGTTAGACCACCACACTTCCACGTGTATTTAATACACACAGCGAAAACTGAAGATCACAATTGAGGCTAGTAAACAGATTCAGATCAAATGATGAAATATAATAAGCTGTTGTAGTCTGTGTTTTTCTCTGAATCCCATATTTCCGTGGAGATTTAATTTCCCCCTGAGCCTACGCTACTTGTTCCTGTGAAGAGTTCCAGTTATTGACTAGCCTAAATCGGAATCAAAATTCCTACTGTATTTTGTTTGACTGCAGTCAAATCTCGTTTTGATGAGGACCTCTTAAAAGCATACTGGAGGCATAGCAATCGCTAGAGATGTCAGTACCCCCATCAACACTTAATATACTGTAAGCTAAAAGAAGATCACCTGTCCTTCAAGGGTATGATAATGAGAAGACTTGTTTCATCGAGAAATCTGCACTCTTTACAGGATTTATGCTTCCTACTTGAAGCCTGGGCTAGCTACGGATATTCAGCATTCAACTTAAGGTCTAATATATGTGCTTTTAAAAGACTTTCGACGCCCTCATTTATGACAATATTTCGGTAAAGTGTAGAATGAAATCATTTGGATGATCTCGTATATCACATACGTCTTAAGTGGAAAGTGAAGTAGAAGTGTCCTGTTCTAAGCTTTATCGCATGACTGTTCACTGTTTATTTTTGACCTTTTCTGGCCATGATGCTGACTACCACATATTTGTTTACTTTATTGTTAAATCACATACCAAAAGTGACCATTTCTTACTCATTTTTCAAAGGTTCCAAAAACTTTTCCCATACTAGATACGTGTTTTGAGGTTGTGTGTGTACCAAGAAGTCCTGCACATGCGGTTAGTTTCCTCTCATGTGGTCTTCATGAGTTTTCATGCCAGTAGGTTAATAATGTCTGACTCCACCTCTTTGAAGTGTCATTTCTTTCTTAAATGTCTGATATGAATGACTGTCATCTCCAAAAGCTGCTGAAATATTACTAACAAGTGCATACAGATGAGAAATAAAGACAGACTGATAAAATTGTGAACAAAAAATAAGTTATCAGTTTGAATTCGAACATAGCAACCTAAGATATTTTTTTGCCTATATAAACTCATCCTACCTTGTTAGCTGCAATTATCTATGTGAACCAAAACTACAAGCCCCTTTGTGAGGACCTTTGATTCGTTGTCTTCACCACTTAACTTTCCAGTAATAGCTGTAAAGTCAATATATCTTCTTCGAAAGACAAATAACACAACTAGTGTTCTGCATACCTCAGTGCAATGCTAATTTAGCCGCTTTCATATTTTCTGACCATACAACCGATGTTTTCACCACATCTGCAAAAGTAATTTCCGTCTCACAGCAATTCTTTGAATAAATCAGCAGATGATAATTTCAGCCTTTAGTATCGGATTTCTCTCAGTTTTGTGATTTTCTATATTGTATATCAGCACGTATTCGGGTGATCTCGGTAATTCTCAGTGAATAAGTTAATGCAATCGTTAGGACATTGAACACAGTAAATTTAAAGTAGATTGCTACTTCTGTAGATATTTGAGTATACTGTCTTGAGTATTCTTGTTCCTGTATATTTATTTAATGAAAACATACCGTTGAATACCTTCCATTAATATCATAGGTAGGACATACTTGCGGTAATTCAAGTAAAACAAAACATCTACCCAACACTTAGCTCTTTCACTTCAATCATTTAAGCGTTTCAGGACGGCGAACTGGAGGTTGCTGGCCTGAATCCTGTCATCATTCAGATGTTCATACACTCACTTGTATGAAAGTGATTCTTTGAATTGCCAGTTTAAAACAGTGACAGTGATGCGATATATCGGTTGCTCGAACATTGAATATTGACCATTGTTATTAATAAATAAAATACAAAATATAGGCAAAGGCAGTCGAAGACATTACACTATACATGTGTTTAAACTATACATCTTATCCAATAACTTATTTAAATTCATTTCACTGTAGGAGATCTCTGTGTATATACAAAGTAGAACTGTGGATAAAAACTAGCACAGTACATTGAATCAGAGTATTAAATAAAGCCTGTTTAATGAAAAGATAATTATTAATTTTTAACATACAAAAATTTGTCCTTTTTAAGGTACTAATCAAATTTTATGGGATTTTTGTTTAGAATTATATTCAAGTAATGAACTAACAGACTTGACTCAATAGAAGATTATCATTGTCCAGCTGCATATCACTAACTTGTTGAGTACTTAGTTGTTGAATGTTGATCCACTTAACTTTGTGGCTATACCACAAATTGTCTCGCATACATATTTCGGTTAGCACAGCAGCTTAAACACAAATTTATTTGTTTATATGAACTGATAATTAAACCGAGTTATGAAACATCCCACAGCATGAAAATACACTAATCAGTGCTTTAAGCCCAGCAAACACTCAGTATTAAGAATTCACCTGCTACGGTTTGGTCTGTTGCGATTAACCCTACCATCGCTGACAAATAATCAAATCAAGATAGATTTTATTATATCTGTTTATGTTTTATGCTGGGTAAAGTTAATTAGCGTGTAAAGAAAGGTGCAGGCAAACGTAACAATAATCCATTCCACTAAATGCACTTGGCTAACGACATTTCAATTAACACCTAAATCAGACTACTGACATTTATATTGTTTTGATGGCAAAAACAAGTATTTAAAGGTAAGTTTAATCCGTAATCCTAGGGATTGAGATTAACTATGTCTGATCAAATATCATAATTGAATTTTATATTGGAACAACAGTGAGAGTTGTGTACTATTTAGGGATTGTAAAACACATTGGGTACAGCTGTCCACCATTGCATATATTAACTGATTTTTCAGAGTAAGTTTCTGATTCAACCAGCAGATTGCATGTGAAAACTATTTTTTCATAGTTTTTTCCCCGCTAGTTACACGAGAACACGCTAATACAAATATAATTGTTAAAAAGTAAAGGTCATTTGAATGACCTGAATTTACAGTTTAGTACTTACACGGAAATTATACTTTGTTTAAATTAAGAAAACTTCAGTATACAACGTTGTGTGTGTGTGTGTGCGTTAGTGTGTTTTCGTGTTGGTGGTTTAGATTGCGTGTCTGAATTGCTTGTGTGCGCGTGTATGATTATAGTTACTTATGTGATGCACTAATCAGTGCGGACAACCCGGATAGTACTATGAAATTATTTATATAATGTTTCACAAAGATGATGAATTCACTCCATTTTTTCTGTGACTATCTGTGTTTGTTTGTGTTGTCGTGACTGTCATTTTCTCTACTAATACCATAACAAATAACCGCATTATTATTATTATTAATATAATTATTTTTGTCATTTTCATATTACTTGTAAGCACTAAGCCTTCATTCATAGATGGTAAAAGTATCCTCCATAAGAGGTTAGCACCTATTTTAATACCGAATATCGTAAAAGCATGATGAAACTTGTTTCTGTTTACTCAGCATTCTTTCAAAACATGTGTAGACACGTACACATGAATTGCATTTTAAGATTCAAGAACACCTTACAAGTATATTGTGTTGTTCTAAATGGTACCTGTGTACAACTCATTTTTTCCTATACACGCCTTTTTCTGAAAGGTAATCAGTTTTGTCTTTGTATTTAGTCAATAATTTAGTAAACAAAACACGCTAATTATCAAGAGGTGAAAGTAAGTGATGCAGCTGAATATATGATTTTGTAAAAATTAAAAATAGAATCCACTGCTCACATTTCGCTGCATCAGTCACATTCATAGGAATTTTTTCAGAGGATTTGTGTGTGTATGTGTGTGTGTGTGTGCTTTCATCGATAAGTAAATCTCAGTTTATGTGATCTCACTAAAACGTTGAGTTAAAAAAAGGTTTATTGTCAATCAGGATACGACTTGTGATACAGTTTAAGGTACATAATAAAGTTTGCAAGTCAGTAAGCACTGTTTGCTCATTCAGCGAACAAAGTATATTGTGGTTGTAATTAAAGATAATCAGCAAAATGCTCAAGCGTGGTAGCCACTTTTCCGCTAAAAAATCAGTAGCAGTCTGACAACTTCAGGCTACCCTAGATAGTCTTTCCATCGATTACCAGCGTGTTCTTATTCTTATAATTCACCTCAGCCAGGCAGCTGTTGTAGGCATAAACAATAGGTTATGCGCCACTTATCCACAATACATCTGCACATTATACGTAGTAATGATGAAACTATCAGCGAATGTTAGACTTCAGCTGATACAGAGACGTGCTAGTAATCAAGAGGTCGCTAATTCTAATCTTATCGCTACTTACATTTTCATCTCACCTTCATCAGTCATCCATAAACACAGACAGTAGTCTGCAGATCCAAGAATAACTCAGATAGTTTTAATGTCAACATTACTTACACTCTGAGCAACAGCAGCAGAGTGTGTCTTCTAAAATTCTGAATGAAGTTCTCATCAGGGTGTGCAATGCACTCGGGTGGGTGGATACATATTTACTCAGAACACTGAAATCCATGAACTCATGCACTTAAATGAAGAGTTTAGTCAGCTTTTGTGACTTGTGACCTTACAAATTCATTAAATCTTCACGATTCTTTCTGTAATTATTCTTTTACGCATAAATTTTGTATTCATTGTAATTTCATTGATTTATGTTTGCTTTTAAGAAATGAGGCAACTTGAACTGATGAATTTTTGTTTAAAGTCCTACACTAATATTTCACATCACTTAGTC